TAGGGAAAGTTATCCTACTTAGGAAGAAAAGGAATACATCTTAGAAAGCAAAAAATTGGTTTAGGAAAAAATGTCACATTGAATTTATAGTTACAACACCCATCACTGGGCATAAACTAAAGTGAAATTAGCTTGACTGTAGAAACCTACTGCAAACACCATGATATGAATGTAAAAACATACATTGAGAAGATGTGGTGTTATCAGTGGACCTGAACCTGCCAAAATAATTGCACAGATGCACAACAGGAAATGTTCAGTAAAACAGGCAAATTTAATATCTCTTTTTTGAAACTATAAAAATTAACTAACACTGGTTTTTTTTATATTTTTTAGCTGAAATATCCATCAGAAGATGAAGAAATTTTGCTCCTTAGATCCATTACAGATGTCAACCTGCCTAAATTCTTGTCTCACGATTTACCACTTTTTGAGGTAGGACATACACAGATTTTTAGTAATGTAAAATGCTCACTAAAAATACTAATTGATAAAAATATTATGTAGCAGGTTTATCAGAGAGATGGACCAATGGCTTTTCAAATGTAGCCTGTAATTATTTTAAAACTTAGTCTTAACCGTTCCTTCCTAGCAAATGTAGTGAGCATTTGTGTTTTGACAGTTTAGACAAATGAAACTTTCTGCCAAATATACCACTTGAAATGGTAACATATCTTGTATTCAAGTATCTTATAAGTATTCTTATGAAATAGGTAGGTACTAATAGTGTCCTTTTTATGAGAGAAAATTTGTATTTTCACTTCTAACGTGTGCAGAAAATTTGTCTGTTGTGGAGAAAACACTTTTGCCCAGCAGTACAACTTATGCTATGATACTAAATGGTTTATTTTAATATGGTATTCCTCCATTTCCCCATATTTATGTCATCTATTTTGTAAGAAATAAATAATTAATAGATTATTTTTTTCTCTGTTATCTTAGTTATAAGATCTGGTAGGCACAGAAAGACTAAACTCTAGCACAAGTGTATGAATCTTTAAATTCTTTAACAGAGAGTGTGGAGAAAAAGTGCAGGAGGTGAATGACCAATGGAAATTTTACATCAAATGTGTTTCAGACAAGAAAAACTGCTCATCTTGAACACAGCTTGATATTTCTGCTTGGGAAATATGATTATTTTAGTTGGAAAAGCCCTGGTTTTGTCATAGCCAGTTGTAAAACATGCCTCTGGTAATGCAGAATGTTTAACATATATTTTAATACACTTAAAAAAAGAAAAGTCAGGGTGTGGCATGCTCATTACTATGCTCATTACATGTTAACAGTGTAAACTGACAGTGCTAAAAGAGAACAAAGGCACATAGTAGAAGGAAACCAACATACATAGTAACAGAAAAAATGTCAAAATAATGAGATTCTAAGTTGCATTTTAATTACTGTAATTTCTAAAGAATACGTTTTATTTTGATTGTTTTTTTCAGTAATCCTTGCTTTCTAAGTGGATACTGGTGATCTGTCTAATTGAAATGATAGCCCAGACATTCTTTTTCTCGTTTGTTTTGTCTCAGTTTATTCTTTATCTTTCTTGTTTTATTATAAACAAAACCGCGGGGTCTTTGTTTTTAAATTTAGATTTCAGTTAATTATTTTTTAAGTATTGAGGAAAAAAGGTAAATGCTTTCTCCACTTTCTAACTGCAAGATTTATAAACTAGTTTAGTTAAAGCTGATGTTTATCAGGAAAGATTATGCTTAGGCAGTTAATCCCTTCTCTACATGCGCAGGTAAATATGGAAAAGATACATGAAATAAATATCAATAATAAACTACAAAGTTAGATTTTCAGTTCAGACAAGGTTGATATGTGAAATTCATGATTATTTTATTTTAATCAAAACAGATATTAATCTGTGTAGTGTCAGCAAAGGGTTGATTGTATGAGTTTCAAACCAAATTACCGTGAAAATAAGCGTACTTTCCAATTGATTGTTTGGATAGGGTATTACTTCTGATTTGTTTCCTGGTGTGAAGCTACCAAAACCAGACTACAATGACCTATTGGAAGCCATTAAAAAAACCTGCGATGCTATGAATTTGCAAATGACTGACACATTTACTATGAAGATCCTACAGATATACGAGATGATGATTGTGCGTCATGGTTTTATGATAGTTGGAGAGCCTTTTGGGGGAAAAACATGTGCGTATCGAGTTCTGGCAGGAGCATTGGGAGACATATGTGAGAAGGTATCTAAACATTTTAATACATATTTCTAGTGAAAAACTGTTTTCAAACAAATATTGTAAACACATTTTAGTATTTATACTGAGTACAGAATTTACTTTAAGGAACTTAAAATTATAAGGAAAAGCTAAAGAATTTGACTGAGAAGCTGTCCTTCCAACCTTACATAAGATAGGATGACCCGATTTTAAATATAGACATTCCTACACATGGTGTTTTCTCTAAATTCTTTCATTGGATTGGACAAGGAATGAATTAGCTACCTGAAATTTTATGCTAAACTGTTCCTTGTGAAAGCTTTATACCAGATTTCCAACTTATTCACACGAGAGCTACTGAACTCTCTTTTAATAGAGATTATTCAGTTTTAGAACTACACCGAATAATGGATCTTCTTCATAAGCTTAGAAAGTTTTGAAGATTTTCTGATAATGATATAATAAACCCATGTAAACCCAGAAACTAAATAGTCTCAAATGTTGATTATTTCTGAAAACAGAGTGTTTCAATTTTTCAGACAAATTTTGGATCTGAAACAAATCCAAGATTTGTTTTGTCAAATAGCTTTTCACCTGACATAGGAGAAGTGGATAGAAATTATCTGTGGAACAATTTAAATGGTCCAGTAGTATAGCTATACCAAATCCTGCTCAAATTCAAGCTATCAAAATATTTATGTTTCATATGGGATCTCTGGAATCCTGCCCCTTGGGCTGTGGAGGTTTTGCAGAAAAATCTAATCATAGTTATTGTCTTTATTATTCTATGTTCTAAGGACCTCTAGATTCAGTCTAGTCTGATCTGTTAGGATGGAATGTAAACCCAGTACAAGGCAGTTGTAGATGTTTCTGAAATGAAGTGTTTAGGATTTGAGACTTGAGAGGTGACTGGCCCACTCATTGAACTCCAGGCACTTCCAGAGAAAAATAATAATAACCATGGAGTATAAGTGATCTTCAGGACAGTGAATTGCTGCAGGCTGGCTGGCTGGAAACATAAAACCAACCACCTTAGCAAAATTGTTCCATTTTCTTAATGGTGATCTTGAGGCAGGCATCTTGCATATTTGTACAGACTAGACTGACTGGACCTTCACATAGGTATTGCTATCAAGCAGAACTCTATTCTTATGATAATTAAAAGCTGTTATTTGTTTCCTATATTACAGGTTAAATTGTGAAGCTTTTGCTTTAGGTGTGTAGGAGAAATTGTATTCTGCTTGTCACTCCAATAAAACAATATTTAACTTTCTGCTTTTCCTTTTAAACCAGTGAATCATTGTCCACTTATTTCCATTTTTGTTTGTTAAGGGAAAAATTATGTGGTAGAGTAAGAAATTTGTATCTTATTATTTTATTCCTGTTAGCTCATATTCTCAATCAACTCTAATGATAAATGTGATGGCCATTACACTTATCGGAGCTTTTTGCTTTCTTTTATTATTTTTTCTTCCGAAAAGAACTGGTATCAAACTAATCAACACAATTTCATTTTGATTATGATAACAATTGCTTTTTTGGAGGATTTTTACCATCTTGAATAAAATCTTCTCCTTGGTCTGAACTGATTAGTGCTTACTTCTGGGAACTACAGCAGATGTATTGGGACTATATCTGAATTTTATAATTAGGGAGCATTGTGATGAGTGAGATGAGAAGGAGAGATTTGTGATGAATGAGGTAGGAAGCTGCTAACAGAAGCATACTTTCCAAGAAGATGTTATCCATTTTCCCCTTTCTTTAAATATTACATTTTCCTCTGAATATGCATTTTGTTGAAATAATGAAGTATGTTAGAATGAATTATAATTCAATACAAACTGTCAGAAAAAGAAGTTGTAATCATACTTCTTTTAAAACATACTTGCACTGATGAATGAGGTGGGTGCTCTGG